ATCAGCGGAGATGACACAGACGTGCTGATTGGCCTCCAGTCATCCTCCAATAACAGCTCATGAATAAGAAATGCAGCAGGAATAACACTCCAATTAAAAGGCATTAATTATGCAGGGCGCTCAGCGAGACGACTTTCAGTGCGCCACAGCCAGACAGGACGTCACACGAGTGCTCCGTCGGCTCCTCTTGTAGAGTGCCCTTCATTCAGAAAGCCCCCTGGGCCCTTTGATGTCCTGTGGTTTTAGACCAAATTAAAGTTGGTAGATTAGTCATTTTTGTCATCAGTGTCCAAGTTAAGACATGTTTGAAGCCTATATTTTTCTTTCTAAAACACAAATTCATTAAAACCTCCACACCTGCATGGTCACATGCAGGCGTGGATTATGGGTAGTTTAACCACCAAAAGAAAAGTCCTTTCTTGCTTTGCTGAAGTGTTACTTCACTAAAAAAAAACATTTTCTATTATACTATCTGATTATAACAGGTCACTCTTGTTTTTTTTTCATGCGGGCTGCACATGAAAAGAGTCTTCCTCACTTATCTCCTGCATTAGCTTCTGATAGATGGTGAAACTCTAGTATTTGAAGATCCTCACAGATCTACAACACACTAGCCCTTTTGACAAGACACACCAGGGGTGTTTCTCAATGTCAAGGCGCCTGGCCTTGCGAGGCGATGTCTTGCGAGGCCAGGTGCCTTGCTTACGAGGACACTGTCCTTCCCTTGGTCAAAAAAAAAAAAAACGGTTAAATGGAACAGACTTGCATCACGTGACCGCGGCTTCCACGGCGGTCATGTAACGTCACGTGACACGGTAGATAATGTTATATTTTATACGTATTAGTGTCAATATAAATATATAATGAGCCTTTTACTTTTTAAATTGTGCATATGTTTATTAAATTAAAAATATAAGTGAGTTACTACCCGCTAGCCACCGAAGCTGCAACTAATGATCAACTAACCAACCATAGATGACTTATTTGGATCTAAAAAAAACATTTTAAATTAGCTGATGTAGCGTTATGAAGTTTATAATGGTCTGCCCTTAACAGCTGCCCCTTCACACAGTAACATCGCCAAGGTCGGACGCTTGGTTCAGTATGTTTACATTCCAGGAGAAGAGACAGAAGAACAGAAGAAGAACGCTTTTCATTGATTAATCAAAGTACTTTATTTGTGATAAAGCTAATCAAAGCATTTGTTGATCATTAATAATCAGGTGAATGATCTGTGAAATAAAGATGTCATGAGTTATGTGTTTAAATGAATAAACAGGACTGCACCAGACAGACTGATATACATTACCATGGAAACGCATGACACATTATTCTCAACCAATCAGAACTTTCGTCTGTCGTAGAGAGAATCTGGGATGTTTACTTAATGTGTCCAATCCGGTTTACTAAGATTCATAAACAACTGGGAGATATAAAAAGAAGGCAACGCCATTTTAAGTTCAGTTCCACGTTAAGTTCCACGTTGACATCAGCTCTGTTCGATCCGAGCTCCAAGGAGTTACATCATACTCTCAACATTGTTTTCAACCAGCTCTCAATCCATCACCGCAAAGAGGAGTACAGGCTGGCCATCTGTATTTCCTGTTTTAAGCTGAGAACTGTCAAGCTGGAGATTTCCGTCGTTTGTACCAACGAGACTACGTCCCTTCAAAATAAGAGTGAACTTGCTGACGCCTGCCGACTACTACCGGAGTCATCCTCAGACGGGCGTTGTGTGCTGTGACCGCTGTTTCAACCAGCTCCAGTACAACCGAGGTCTTAGGACCTGGCAATTCCTGATCTACACGGGAGACTCCATCTACGGTACGTGGCAATATGGCGGCTCATGTCATCAGCTTCTGAAGCCTCGTGGTAGCCTAGTCATAACAACCAGATTCGCTACTCAGCCTAGAGATTCTGAACAAAACACACACACACACCAACACGAAACATCTAAATCCATATGCATTCATCATTGAGATAGTCCTGGTAGATTGTAAGAATTTATAATTATAGAAATTAAAGATTCTTAAATGATCCCAACTCTCTCTCTTTTCTTGTCTCTCAGTCAATACAGAGTGTTTAAGTAAACTCCCTGATGATAGAAACAACCACTTCTGATTGATTACTTAGATCTAATTAAAGTGTATAAATATACAAAATCAGATAATTAAATTATCTAATTACAGTGTATAAATATACAACTTCAAATCACTACAACTGTGTTGTTGTTGGAGACTCAGAACCACATTATTTTATTAATTTGCTGTGTGTGTCCTCATAGTCTTGTGCCACACACACACACACATAGACACACACACACACACACACACACACACACACACACACACACACACACACACACACACACACACACACACACACACACACACACACACACACACACACACACACACAGAGCTATTCTCTTTTCCCGTTCCCACACTGATCGGCAGCTCCGTGCTACAGACAGAAGTTTACTCAACAGCATGAAAATGAATCACGCATGCGGTAAACCCCCCGCTGGCTCATTTTTCTCACAGATCGGAGGCTTTAGGCGTAATTTCAGCCGGCCAATCAGTCTGTAGTGTCGCTTTGGTCCCAGTCTGACCGCTGGGGAAAAGGTCTAAGAAAAAAAGTTGCCTCAGAGCCGAAAACGCAAATGTGACCCGTGTGTGAAACCAATTCCGGTGCCGTTCGGTACCTTTTGGGGCCATGCCGACGCTAATGTGTAAGCGCCGATAGTGTCCTGAGTTCTGCTTGCAAGGCATTCATTCCTACTAAGGACCACTGCAAATGTATTGATTAAACAACTAATCTACACCTTTAAGAGAAGTTTTGCTTAACTTAAACTCAACAAATTCACCTAAAAATGGATTAAAACTAGAAAATTTAGACAAGTAAAAAATGATCTAAAACAGTCTGACCTATTAATTTAGAAAAAGTCAAGTCAACTTTATTTATAAAGCACTTTACAACAGCATAAAAGCTGACCAAAGTGCTTAACAAGCCCAAAAGAACAGAAGTTCCCTGAAAATTCTAAAAATAGGATAAAAAGTTCATCACAAAGTAAAAACATCATAAAAACAAACGTATCAAACTGACATAAAAGCTACTAAAAACAGATGCATTCTCAAACTGAATTAAAAGTAACTGAGAACAGATGAGTCTTTAAAAAGTTATTTAAAACCCGACAGTGACGAAATCATCCTAATCTGAATCGGGAGTACCTTCCGCAACCTTGGAGCTGCTACTGAGAAAGCTCTATCACCCCTGAGCTTTCTCTTTGTTCTCAGCACCTCCAGGAGAAACTGGTCGGCTGACCTCAGTGACCGAGACGGGGAGTGAGTATCTGGAAGTTCACACAGATACTGCGGAGCAAGGCCATGTACAGCTTTAAAAGCCAATAAAAGAACCTTGTACTGGACCCTAAAATCGACAGGCAGCCAGTGCAGCGAAGCTACAACTGGGGTAATGTGCTCCTTCTTTCTCAAACCTGGCAATAGGCGTGCTGCTTCATTTTGCACCATTTGAAGACGGGAGAGGTGAGACTGAGGAAGACCAAGGTACAGTGCGTTGCAATAGTCAAGGCGTGATGTAATAAACGCATGAATCACCGTCTCAAAGTCATGAGTTGAGAGCAGACGCTTAACCTTGGCGATTCTCCTTAACTGATAAAAACTAGCTTTGGTGATGGCACTGATTTGCTTTCCCAGAAGCAGATCACTTTCAAGCCGGACTCCCAGACTGGTCGCTACAGGTTTCAAAAATAAGGCTACTGGACCAAGGTCAGCAGAACATGGCCCACTGGACACACTAGGATCAAAAAGCATGACCTCAGTCTTGTCATTATTAAAATGTAAAAAATTTGCAGAAATCTTTAGCCTTATCGAGGCAGTTTAGAAGAGGATCTAAAGAATTGGGTAGGCCACGTTTAACGGGAATATAAACCTGGGTGTTGTCTGCATATAGATGAAAAGAACATCCATGTTTCGTAAAAATAGAACCCACAGGTAGCAAATAAAGAGAGAACAACAACGGGCCTAGCACTGATCCTTGAGGAACCCCGCATACGAGAGGCGAGCGAGATGACGTGAAGCCACCTAATGATACACAAATGACCTCTCAGCCAAATGGGACTTAAACCAGTCCAAAGCAACTCCTTTAACCCCAACAGACTCTTGTAACCGTGAAATCAGGAGACTGTGATCCACGGTGTCAAAGGCTGCAGACAAATCCAACTGTACCAGAACCACAAAATCACCAGAGTCAGTAGATAAAAGATTGTCTACTGTTATTTTATCAATTTGTTATGCTCTGACATGCTCTGAATCAGCTGTAGGTGAACTGTTTTTCTTTCTGAGGAAAGAGCTGTAAAAGTTTTCAATTAGACTTTATTTGTATCTATTTGTGTGTGTGTGTGTGTGTGTGTGTGTGTGTGTGTGTGTGTGTGTGTGTGTGTGTGTGTGTGTGTGCGCGCGCGTGTGTGTGTGTGTGTTTGTGTGTGTGTGTGTGTGTGTGTGTGTGCATGCGTGCGTGCGTGCGTGCGTGCGTGCATGCGTGCGTGCGTGTGTGCATGTTTGTATTCTTCAGGGACTGTCATCTCCCCCAGGAGGAGCAGTGAGGTCTACCTAGACATCATTAAACCACTAACACACGATTACAGAACTCAGGAGAATACACGCTGTGAAAACGGATCACTAGAGTGAACAAATAGATCAATAGGTTTACCAATATTTGTCTCGACCTGTGGCCCAGGGTGGATTAATGTTTTTTTCCTGCTTAGTCATTTCCCTCTTCTCCCCCCTCAGGGTCCCTGGGCTCAATCAGGAGGACGGAGAATCCGGTTTCCGCGCCGCAGCCTTTCCTGGAGGAAGGCGAGTCGTTGGTGTCCTTAGCTGTGGAGACGGCTCTGATTGGTTTAGGGCAGCAGAGGTTGATGCCAGACGGCCTTTACGTCCAGGAGAAGGTGTGTCGCAATGAAGAGCAGCTATTGGCCAGGCTTCAGGAAGTCAATTTGGACAACATGTTGGTGAAGATCCTCCGGAGGCAAGCCACATTACTGCTGGAGGGTGAGTAACATTTTATAGAGGCTGTAAACATGTTTGTTTGCTGAAGATTTCTCCTCTTTTGTTTATGTGGAACTTTATATTTTCTAAAGTTATTTTCATTGTCATTCAAGAATTTAAAATCTAAATAAAAAAGAAGCAGAGTAATAATAGTTGTTCTTTTTGGCTCATCAGCTAATACCTTCATAAGAAGGACCAGCTGTTGTTGTTTAGTACATTACTGTGGGGTTTGAAAGCTTTTATTTGCTAACTGCACTGCTTCAAATGATGAAGCAACATTTAGTTCATTTTGGAGCATTTCTGTGTAAAAGTCATAAATAATTACTAACAGTGACATGAAGTACCTTCAGCAGAGGTTTCATTTTCTGTATAAACCAAATCATGTCAGGTTATACTGATCTGCTCTGTGGTACCCCAGGGCTCTAGTATGGGTTTTACAGATTTTTGTAAAATTTGTAATTTTTTTGGGGGGCAGCAGTAGCTCAACAGGTTGAGCGGGTTGTCCAGTAATCGGAAGGTTGCAGGTTCGATCCCGGCTCCGGACAGAGAATTCTGCTGTTGTGTCCTTGGGCAAGACACCTAACCCACCTTGCCTGCTGGTCAGAGGGTCCGGTGGCGTCTGTGCTCGGCAGCCTCGCCTCTCATCTCCACCAGTGTATGAATGTGTGTGTGCATGGATGAATGATACACTGTAGTGTAAAGCGCTTTGGAGTCCTTACTCTGAGAGGCGCTATACCATACCATACCATACAGTACCATACCATACCATACCACCATTACCATACCATACCAAACCATGCAGTACCATACCATACCAAACCAGACCACCATTACCATACCATACCATACCATACCATACCATACCATACCATACCAAACCATACCACCATTACCATACCATGCTATACCATACCAAACCATACCACCATTACCATACCATACCAAACCATACAGTACCATACCATACTATACCATACCAAACCATACAGTACCATACTATACCACCATTACCATACCATACCATACCAAACCAAACCATACCATACCAAACCAAACCATACCATACCAAACAATGCAGTACCATACCATACCAAACCAGACCATCATTACCATACCATACCAAACCATACCACCATTACCATACCATACTATACCATACCAAACCATACCACCATACCATACCATACCATACCATACCATACCATATAGGGCTGCACAATATATCGAAAAATTATCGTCATCGCGATAACAGGACGTGCGATAGGCCCATCGCAAAAACGGCGATAAATGTTTGGTTCAAACATTTCCATTCGTGTCATACATCAGCTTTTTGTAAACCAGCTCTGTTTTTTACGTGGAAGTATTATTTGACCAATCAAATGTAGTCCTTCTGATATGCGGCCAATCAGATGGTTTCGTTCACGTAATACGCCTGCCCCCTACATAGACCCTTTTGGAAAGCAACACCCGAACAGAGTTTGCGGCACTGTTCCCTTGTTCGTCATGCTGGCTCAGAGCAACGAACGCACTTTGTGCTAAGGTTTCTGGATTCAGCGCTGCTTTCAAACGTGAACGTGATTCTGCTCTGTGTCATTAATCATTTTTACCGGGCTGACTCCGACATGTGCCGGTGAACCAACCCACTTTCATGTTGCTAGTGTTAGCCCCAGGCTCCGGTTCACTTCCAGCTAAAAGGCTACAGCACTCTCCTCCCAGTCCCACCCTGCTGAAGAGGGCCTGGAAAAGTTACCCCACACATCTTATGAGCTTTTATAACCTTGCTAATCAAGATAGTTGATTTGCTGCTGCACAGAAGCTCTGCTAGCCGGTTATCTTAGTTCAATTTGTTAGCTTGTTATCAGAATCATAGTTGGAGTTTCATCATCTGAGCTGCTTTTTAAGATCTAGGTAAACTTGTTCAATTTGGGGTTAAAAACAAACGTTTTCACATATTTTCCATGTAGTTTTTTTGCCAGTTCCTCTTCTGAAAGGTAGACAATTGTTTTTCTCTTTCCCTCAAAAAATCTTAATTTTCTCTTAGTTTGGCCCAGCACAGTTCACTTCCCAATTACAGCAACAGCCTTATATCATAACCACATTAGTGGAGAAAATGTTCAGTAGCAATGAGAGAATTTGCTGTTGCATTGAAGTGATGTTAACTATTATTTAACATTTAAAGTAATTTTCTGATTTTTTTTATTTATTCTAAAAAACCCTGGTAAGGGATGTTTTTCTGTATTTGGAGCATCAGAAAAAGTTTTATGGTGGAGGTGATGTTTTAAAGTCACTGAGAAACTGCATGCATGCAGTTTGTTGTTTTGCTGCTAATACAGTAGCAGTGCAGCTGCATATTTTTGCAATATAATGTTATGTTGTCATGGAATTCATGCATTAGTTTTTGTTTGCTTTGAACCCAGAGCAGACGTCACACGCCAGACGACATCAACACTGCATACTTTAGTATTTGTTCATTTACCGTGAGTAATATCGATATCGCAATATTAAGCACTGTTATCGAATATCGCAGGTTTTCCTAATATCATGCAGCCCTAATACCATACCATACAGTACAATACTATATAAGCTTTATTTATAAAGCAATTAAAACAGCCACAATACCGAAGTCCTGTACACAAGAGCATCACACACACACACACACACACACACACACACACACACACACACACACACACACACACACACACACACACACACACACACACACACACACACACACACACACACACACACACACACACACACACTCAGAACCCTCTCTGTAATGGTGTGTTGAATTAACTTTTGGGCCATTCCCATCTGTACCGTGTCGGCCCGGGCCGGGTAGCCCCAGTCGGCCCCAGCCTGGCCCGGTTGATTCAACACATCCTTACCTTAAGCCCATGTGGGCTGATTCTACCCACCAATCAGAGACTTGCTCTAATGGAAGGTGTGAATTTGCTGTCAGCAGTGGGTGTGTTGGCCCTGGTCGGCCGGAAGCAGACCCCCTCGAGAAGAGGGCTGAGAATGAGCCTTGGTTGGCCCGGAAAAATACCAGGCCACCCAGATATGTAAACAACCTACGCTACCCGGCCCGGGCCGACCCGGTACAGATGGGAATGGCCCATTTGCTTCCAGTTGTAACCCTGAATTTACAAACACGGTGAAGGTATTAGCCTGGTGCGTTGCACAACCAGTAGGCTTTGATCACTGGACCTCAGGGACCTGCTGGGGGTGTAGGGACTAAGAAGATCACCAATGTAAGATGGTGCTTGTCCATGTAAGGCCCTATAGACCAGAACCAGGATCTTAAAATGAACCCTGAAGTTGACTGGCAGCCAGTGAAGCTGGAGGAGAAGCGGGGTGATGTGGGTGTGTTTGGAGGACTTGGTCAGAAGCCAAGCACAGGCATTCTGAACCACCTGTAGACGGTTTAGGGAGGTTCTGCTCAGACACGTGAAAAGAGAGTTACAGTAGTCTAAGTGTGAGGAGATGAAGGTGTGGAGAACAGTCTCAAGTTCAAAGCGAGACAGAATGGGACTCAGCTTAGCAATGTTCCTGAGATGGAAGAAGGAAAAGCGAACAAGAGAACTGACATGAGAATCCAGGGTGAGAGCTGGGTCAAAGGTCACGCCAAGATTCCTGACAGAAGGTTTGGTGTGGGAAGCAAGCTGACCAAGAGAGTCTCTGACTTTGGGAACCAGCTTGTCTGGGGCACAGATGAGGATCTCAGTCTTATCTTCATTCAGCTGAAGAAAGCGCCCACCATCCAGGTTTTGATAGAGTCTAAGCAGATGTGTAACAGCTGCAGCTTAGACATCTCATGGGGCTTGAAGAAGATGTACAGTTGGATGTCATTTGCATAAAGATGGTAGGAGATTCCTTTGAAGGAGCTCAGGATGTGCTGAAGAGGAAGCAGATAGAGGAGGACGAGCAGAGGCCCCAGCACAGAACCTTGTGGGACACCATGGGTAAGAGAGGTGGTGGAGGACCTAAACTTGGAGACGGACACAGAAAAGGAGTGCTCAGAACCACTCCAGAGCAGATCCTGATAGGCCTACCCAGTCTCTCAGCCTCTCCAGTAGTAGGTGATGGTCAACAGTGTCAAAGGCTGCAGTCAGGTCCAGCAGGACCAGAACAGAACAGTCCCCTGCATCACTGTGAGTCAGAAGGTCATTAGAGACCCTAAGAAGAGCTGTTTCAGTAGAATGAGCTCTACGAAAACCTGACTGGAAGCTATCATAGATGTTCTGTTCATCAAGAGCAGCTGTTAGTTTAGCCACAACCTTTTCCAAGATCTTGGAGATGAACGGAAGTTTAGAGATGGGTCTGAAGCTGCTATGGGGAGAGGGGTCAAGACTCGGTTTTTTAAGAAGCGGGTGGATTACAGCATTCTTAAAGTAAGCAGGGACCTGACCAGAAACCAGAGAAGCATTAATTATAGAGAGCACGCTGGGACCGATGGACTGAAAAGCACTTTTAAACAAAGATGAGGGTAAGATGTGGAGGGGGCATGCAGAGGTCTTCATAGAGTTAAGTAGTTTGGTTAACTCAGGCAAAGAAACAGGAGCAAAGCTATCTAGGATGTTGGTCCTGGTCGGAGTCGGGAGAGGCGGCGATAAGGCTGAAGGAGAGATGCTAGATCTAACCTTATTGACTTTGTCCACAAAGAAAGACAGAAAGTTCTCAAAGTCTGTAACAGAGTGGATGGAGGCTGTAGGAGAGGCAGGAGACACGATGCTGCTGATGGTGTTAAACAGCACCTTGGGGTTCCCTTTGCTCTGGGACACCAGGTTGGACAAATAGGAAACCCTAGCGTCTCTGACTGCAGAGTTAAAGGATGACAGAAGATCCTTTAGGTGCAGCAGATGGACGTGGAGATGGGTTTTCTTCCACAAACGCTCAGTTTTTCTGCATTGGCGCTTTAGGCTGTGAAGGCTGTCATTAAACCAGGGAGTAGGGTTCACTGCAGGAACTGATCTGGTTCTGACAGGACAGATGTTGTC